TAGTACTGTGCAGAGTCCATACATACAGGACAAGGGAAGTATTACTCTGCAGAGTCCATACATACAGATACCGAGAATTGTGCTGGTGGTATGATTTGTGTTGCACATTGTTGGGGTCCCATTGATGCATCTTGTGCCCCCCCTCCCCTTCTCATTCATCTCCTCCACATAGTATTTGTATCAATGTACAGAGAGTAACAAGTGGATACAAACTTGTCGGTCGTAATACATATCGTCGCCCCTCCCCCGAAGCTGCGCCAATTGTCAGTTCCTCATTTGCGTCTCTCCCGGGACTTTGCGGGTCCCCACGGACCGTCCCGTTTTATCGCAGAGGATGGAACGCGGTAAACGCACGCAGACGATGGAACGCGGTAAACGCACGCGTCCGACTTCCCCATCATAAGAATGACGTCGGCCCAGAAAATAAATCGCCTCCATTTTTCTGCGTTTTAGTGCGTTGGGCGGCGCGTAGAAATCAACGGCGACGCATCCAGACGCGTGAAATGTGCGTATCTTTGGCACGGCAACAGGTAGTAAGAAGACGCGGAGGCTGTAAACTCCATGCACCCCAAATACTGAAAGCGCTACGGCAACGGCTGGCGCCATATAATCCGGTATTATGATAAACTGGGAAACGCGCGGCGACACGTGACAACACGCCCGTGTAACGCCGCACAACACGCCAATGTAAAGAGGGAGCACACGCCTGTTCACTATCCAACCGACACGCAGACCGCCGCCCCCTTTTTTATGGGGGAGTAACAACAGAGGGAGCCCCATGTAGGCAGCGCCACAAGTCGTCACCTACCCAGGAGCGCTCGGCGAAGCTGCGTCACCCAACGGGGGCCCAGCTCCCTAAAGATCAATGTTTAGCTTCAGACATACTCCATGCGACTCCATGCGACGCCGATCGCCCCGTCTAAGTGCCGCTAACGAAAAACAAAATATCAAAAAGATTCAAAAAGTTCCAAAAATGTCAAAAATGTTGCAGGTATAAGAGGGCGGCGACGATTGAAGCGGTCATGTGACTTTGGTGTCCAGCACGCCGGAAAAATGTTCGTCGTCAGGCACGTTCCCCTCCCCCAGCCAGGAGTGACATTCATTGTGCGTCACACAGGAGACTGTTGGGGGATCCATCGTCAATCTGATCCGGGGTTCGGAGATGAGCGACTTGAGCACATTGTGTTGTTTGGAGGGCGGAAGGAGCCTCAGGTGAGAGGTCTGGGGCTCTCAGGCACAGCGAGGGTTAAGGGTCCCAGTCGAAGGGGTGGAGTGGGTGGGGTCTCTGCTGTGATTGGCCGGTTGGCTCCTGGGGGCAAGGGGGAGTTTAAAGCACTCAGGGGGAAAGAAAGAGGAAAGTGAGGAGGAGGAGAGAGCACCTGCTGGATGGAGAGTCCTGAGCTGTATTCCCAAAAGGACAGGGGCCAACGGGGCCAGCTTGGGGCCATGCACATGCAGCAGCGTCAGGAGAGGGGCCCCCAGATCCAGGCAGGGGCCCCGCACGGTCAGCTTTCCCAGGATTGGTGCTTGCAGCTGCAGAAAACAAGCCCACAACTTCAAAGCCAACATGAAAGGGACCCTTACATGCAGCCGGGGGGCCACGACCCGCATCCCTACCAGGACTGGGGCTCCCAGCGGGACAGGGGACCCGAGCTGCCAACTCGCCAGGACAGAGGCACCCACACCTCCCCGGGGCCCACACACACGCAGGATCGAGGGCCAAAGCCCCAGACCTCACTGGACCGGGGCCCGCAGATGCGTCTAGAGGCCCCTCTGAGCCAACCCTACCAGGACTGGAGCCCACAGATGCACTTGCCACAGGAAAGAGGCCCCTATATGCAACCAGGGGCCCCGCACGTTCAGCATCCACAAGACAAGGACCAGCAACCGAAGAAACCATTGGAAAGGGGCCCCTTTATGCAGCTGGAGGTCCCACATATGCAGCATCTTCAGGACAAGGAGCAGCAACTTCAGAAACCACTGGAAAGGGGCCCCTTTTTGTTACAAGGGGCCCCACATATGCAGCAACCCCAAAACAAGGACCAGCAACTTCAGAAACCACTGGAAAGGGGCTCTTTTATGCAGTCAGGGGCCCTACGCCTCCAGAATCCACAGGACAACGACCAGCAACAGCAGAAACCACTTGAAAGGGGCCCCTTTATGCAGCTGGGGGTCCCACACATCCAGGACAAGGACCAGCAGCAGGACGCACCCCAAGAGGGGGATCTCCAGCCTCAGTCCCACCATGACAAGGGCCCAGAATCACAACCCCAAAAGGACAAGGGCCCCCAGCCGCAACAGGCCAAGGAGAAGGGCCCCCAGAAGGAGAAGGCCCCCAGCGCCGGCCCTCCTACGGTGAAGCGCCCCATGAATGCCTTCATGGTGTGGTCCAGCGAGGAGAGGAAGAGGGTGTCCGCGCAGTACCCCAAAATGCACAATTCCGAGATCAGCCGGAGGTTAGGAGAAGTCTGGAGGGGCCTCACCGAGGAGGACCGGAGACCCTACCGGGAGGAGGCTAAGAGACTGCGGGTGCAGCACGCCCGGGACCACCCGGGGTACAAATACACCCCCCGCAAGAAGAAGAAGGTGGAGCCATGCACCAAGGGCC